AAAAATTCACCCCCTAGTGGTAGATACGGATTAACCAGCTTTGCATTAATTCCTATGGGAACTAATGCTTTGACTTAAGAACAGTGCCTTGATTTAAGAACAAAAAACAGCAGATATGGATTAAATGATTTTCAGTGCATTTCTATGGAAAATGGTGCTTTGACTTAAGAATGTTTCAACTTAAGAACGCAGTCCCAATACGGATTAAGTTCTTAAGTCAAGGTACCACTGTATGCTGACATACCAGAGGTGGCAGGATAATTTTGAGGAGTGACTAATATATGAATGATTAGCACCCCTTCCTGTACCTTGCATTTGCATTATCTTAGCAAGCACAGATTTCAGGATGAATCTGTCCCAGTAACATGCAGTTCTGCCCAAAGCACTTTGGTGTACACAGTAAAGCACACATCCACTCTGCTTCTGCACATCTTCATGCCCCAACTGCCATACCTTGCCCTGCTCTTTATACAAATTCTATTATTCCACACAGGCTCGTGTCAATGCTGGATATTCCAAAAAAGCATCCAAGGAAGTGGTCTTTATGGGGATAAGACAACTTTTAACCAGATTCTGTAACCGTGAGTATCACGGAATGCCAGGAAGATGACCAAGTGAGTCCTAGACCAAATCAATTCTCAACTCTTCCTGGAAGCAAATATGATGAAACTGAAGCTATCACACTTTGGGGCATAATGTGAAGACGAGGCTTACAGGCAAAAACAATGATAATGCTAGGAAGAGTTGAAGGTAGCAGCAAAAAAGGGAAGACGAAACATGAGATGGATTAATGCCATAAAAGAATGATGGCCTTGAGTTTGCAGGAGCTGAGCCGGGCTGATAATAGGCAGAACATTCCTAGGGTCACCATGAATCCGAAGCAACCTGACAGCACATAAGAACAACAATAGCAACGTCCCTAGAGATATCTGCTTATTAAGGTCAAGTCTTCCTTCCTTGAAATAATGATGTGAGCAGTAGTAGGGAGCTGAGCTATCTATACTTCCCTGAAGAGGCCACATATTTGTCTGATGGGTTCAAGGAATATCTACAAAGTTATGTCTTCTCTGAGCATGTATTCCCTGAAGAGGCCACATATCTGTCTGATGGGTTCAAGGAATATCTGTTCCATGGGGTTCTACAAAGTTATGTCTTCTCTGAGCATGTGAAAAATTGGTTTGCTCATGTTTTTATGATAAAAGAATAAAGATTTTTATGTCTCTATGAGGCATCTGATTCTATATACTGGATGTCAGCGATGTTAGGCATCTAGAGATGTGAAGCTTCAATTACATATGCCTGGGAAAGTTTCAAGCAGATAGCTGTGTTAGTCTGATGTCACAAAAAACAAGAAAGAACCCTGTTACATCTTAAAAGATGAACAAGTTTTAATTAGCGTACGCTTTCATAAATTGTAGGCCACTGATAAGGACTGAGAAACATATTTCCTGTTTGGATCTGAAACAGAGAGGCTGTCAGTGTTACAGAGCATTTGTTGCAAGGAACCAGTGTTTGGAGGGAAAGATGCCCCATGAGACATGCCAATGGCAATTATAACAAGGAAGGCAAGTGCCTTTGAGAATGAGAAACGTCTGTTCCCGTAACCAACATCCAACACTGCAGAGACCAGGTCTCACCTAAAGACATTCAACAGGTCATGCTCACACATGCTGGTGGGTATCTGTTGCAAAAGGACTTGGAGCTGGGCATACAATGTGGGATTCAGGGAAAGAGGCAAAGGTAGGAACTGATGATACACAAAGGTTTTCTGGCCTGGAGGGGGGGGGAGAGATACAGTGCTCCACCTCAACCTGCAAAATACACTGTCCTCTTGACTTCACACCACCCTGATCATAGTTAGTCACACATTTGCTTTTGGGAGCTTAAGTAGATTTGGGCCTGGTTAGTTCTTAAGCAGGAGACCAAGATGGAACACCGGGGATCTCCAAGCAGGGCTAGGAAAGACTCTTCCAAACCCTGAAGACAAGTTGAGTTGACAACGCCAGGTTAGAGTGAATGTAAGCCAGCCTCCTAGCAAAAATCAGAAGGGAGATGTCTGGTATGTGGAGAGCAACCTGTTGGATATATAATTTTAACATGCCTTTGCCACGGTTGTTGTAACATTAACGTTTTGCATTGTCTAAAGCCACCGGTTCTATTTCGCTATGATGATGCAGAGAAAGGAAGGTCCTCAATTCTCCCCACACAAACACATCCGCTGAAGAGCAGGGGTGTGTCTGCGTGAGGGAGGCTGACACATCTCCCTCCCTCCCTCCCTGCGGCGCAGCCTAGCCACTTGTTCCACATAGCCCGGAGACATCTACAGTACAGGCCGCGCGGCCTCAGCTGCCAGAGGCGGTGAGCGAGCGAATCCACCCCAGAGTGCTGTGTGAAACCGGAGGCCGTTCTTTTGTCGAAGGCAGCGGCGCGCCTGCCGGCTCCCACAGAGCTCTCCCCCTCAGTCCCGCCCTGCAACAAACCTGCCTGCCTGCCTTCCCCAGGCGGCGGCCCCATCTCACCTTCAGATAGTCGTTCTCGGAGCGCAGCTCCTCCAGCTCCCTCGCCACGCCCGCGTCCAGCATCTCCTCGGTGAGGTCGGAGAAGGCCAGCGAGGTGCTGAGGGGCAGGCGGCTGCTGGCCAGCGAGGCAGCCGTCGACGGGTCCTCGGGCAG